CATCGTCTTTTCAAAACAAATATTAAAATTATACATATAGACGTTGTGTAAATAATGTTCTGAAAACTTTACAATAAAAATGGCTATTTGATATATAATTCATATCTAACGACAAGCACACTGTTTCTATAATGGGCAGTTTTTTGTAGGATTACATTTATCCATAAAAGTACTGCATGTAACATTAATTATAAATCAATATAACAACATATCAGCGCTAAAAGCTAGCAAACTATTATAGAAAACGCTATAGAATGTTACTTTCTCTCTTTCTCATATTCGCCTCAATCACTCTTCATTCATTATCATCATATTGCATTATACACATTCGAAACATAAGTGTAAATAAAAAAAAAACAATTCGCTTCTTCGTTGGGAGCAAACATACGCGAACGTGTGTGCATGTAGCAGTAATGCATACTTCTCATACGACAATTGCAATATAATCGCTTTCAATTATACTCTGCTTGTTGACTCGGTTATACGTCGTAATCGTATCCTAACAATAGTATAATGTTTATAATGTTTACACTTTTCTGCTATTACATATTTTAGGTACATGCTTTCTTTACGCGTGCATTACGGACAATAGACCAGATGCCATTTCTGTACATGATTCTCTCAGAAGTAATAAAATCAGTGTACAAACATGAGCATCAAGTAACATTTTTCAACACGACTCTAATATAATCTTAAGCATAAAAAAATAAATTATAATAATATGATCATGTCTCTGTGAGCTAACGCATGTACAATGAATACTATATTATGTGTATACGTGCATGTATATATGCATATATATATATATATATATATATATATATGTATATGTACGTATATATATATGTATGTATGCATATGTGCATGCACGTGCATGCATATATACATACATATAATTTTGAAGTACAATAACCCCTTAATAGTTATTCGTGATTTTACGAGAGTACAATTAAAATGCTTATTTTTTTTTTACAATGTATCTTAATGGAACACCTAGGCGAGTTGTATGCAAAAATTTCGATTACATAACAACTGTATGTATATTAATGCATCGATAATGCCTGTTTAAAAAAAAAATTTAGTTATATGTATAATAGCTTAGCGTAATAAGATGCACGTGGAAAGCACTATAGGATTTCAATGAAACTTCTATGTGCGTCGACTCTCCCCTAAGTGTTCCTATACTAATAAATCCACCATGGCGTCTGCTGGTGTTTGCTTTGGCTGCAGCAAATTACCTGCAAAATAAACACAAACTGGTTATTTAAAGAAACTTATTCTAATTTATATTATTGAAACATTAACATCATTATATTTACCTACATAGAGTTTAAAGAATTAAGTAAAGAGTTACAGGCTTGTGAAGGCACAAGATAAAACGACTAGGATCAACGCTAGAAGAGTTCCGCGAATTTGGATAGCTGCCGAATTTCCATCTGCAAATAAGCATAAAATTAGAAACTAGCGACTAAAAAAATCTTTAAAAATAATAAATATTCTATTCGATAAAAACAATTATATTGCATTCGCGCGTACCTTTTTGTGCCATCTCAAACGGATAATCTGCAAAGGAATTAAAAAAGAAAAACTTTAATATTTGTAATCACTTATATTATATATATACATACGCAATATTTTAATCGTTTCGAAATTGTTTAATCACACAAGTCTAATCCAATCTACACAATTCGATTATAATAAGATCAATGAGACTGATTAAATATTTAGGACAGATAATGACATTTCTGATTTAATTTGAAATATTTATAGTGAAATACTGTACGAATCATACAAATTATAAAAAATATTTTGAAATACAAAAGCGAGAGAAGAGAGAAAGAGAAAATATAAGAGACTTAAAAACGTATAAAATGTTTTTTTGAATAGCATGCATAAGAATAAAGATATATACATATGTATATAAATATACATATGTACGTACCACCAGTAAACATATGTGGTTCTGATGGCATAGACCATCCGAATGCGTTTTTAGCCGTAAGGATTGCCTCGTAAGATCCAGGCTGAAGTTCTTCAATCGGATGTTCCACGGTAAATTGACTTCCTTTACCGTCTTTGACTTCAGGCTCAACAACGTTCCAATTCTCGTCGCCTTTGCGACGGTATTGCAACTGCAAGTAGAAAAATTATATCTAATATCTGCCGCGAACTTGATAAATTTTAAGAATTCTCTACGCAGTTATATTATTGTTGATGCACATCGCAAAAAGTCTATTTACCTTGTATTCTCTGATCGGTGAGTAACTCTCCAGATGCCACTTCAGAATAATTCCCGCATCATTATTGGTCATTTCGGCACCAGATATTCTCGCTTGCGAGGGTATACCTAAAATGCATCTTGCAAATGAGAATCTTTCAACAAATTTTATAATATCTCTTTTTTTAATATAACATAATAGTAATTACCTGTTAATAAGATAGACTTTTCGTCTTGACCAATGCTGTTTTGCGCGCGACACTTGTATTCGCCAAAGTCCTGCATCGAAGTGTGCACAATTTTCAAAACATGCTTGGTCTTGTTGCCTTTCATAACTCCATGATGCATCACTATCGACCCCTTCTTGTGCATAATTTCCTTACCGTCTTTATACCACGATATTATGGCTTCGGGATAGGCGCTCACGATGCATGTCATTTCCGATTCGATACCTTCGCCGCTGTAGACTATGTTTCTCTTCACCTCTATCTCAGGTACATCTGTCACAAAGTAAAACAAAATAGTAAATAACGTTAAGGTACTATCGTAAAATAAACATTATTAAGAGCCGAAAAAATCGAATTGTAAGCTGCATCGGCCAAACTGGCAACAAGTAATAAACAAGTAATAAACTCACAGTGTACAATGACGTTGATCGCTTCCATCGCTGGCGTCTTTGAACCATCCTCCGCGAGACATTGATACAGACCACTGTGAGATTTGTTTACTTTTTTTATCGTAATATAATTATCGTTCAGAATCACGTGAGGATCGTAGCCATCCACTTTCTTGTTCTATAGAAAAAGGAATAAATAAAAACAGTTTTGCCTCTTATATTTTTTTTTAATATTGTGTCCATCAGCATATTTTTTAACGTGTTTATATATAATTATTAATATTATACTAACTGTATATATTTTTACAAAATAATGTAATAAATGATGGTATATTATATCTTTCAATGATATTTTACCTCGATAAACCATTTAATTTCAGGCGGTGGCTGCGTGTCTGTTTCGCAACCGAGCCTGATAGGGTAGCCCTGAGTCACTTCGACTCGTCGCGAGGGTATCACACGTATGATTCCCTTATGCGAGTGTTGCGGCGGTGGTGAGGCTGTAGGTTGTTGATGCGTCCCCACCGGATCGACCAGCAAACGGTGAGTTAAATTTATGCTATCCGGTTGCCGGAGGATACTGCACGTGTAATCGTTGGAAGAGTCGCTAACCGATGCGTTGTAGATGGCCAAGCTGTTGTTCGGCAATCGTACGATCCTCTTCGAGTCTTCTATTTGCGGCTGCGCTTCGAAGTATAACAGCTTGTTGTCCTTTATCCATGCGACCACGTAATTTTCTGTAACAATCCACGATAAAAGCTTTTCAGAATGTATCATTAATATCGATCTCTTATCGATATTGTCTTACAAGAAATCATGATTAAAACTTGCGCGGAAAATATGTAATAGAAAGATATAATTACAACTTTGAAATTATTTCATTTCATTCTCTTTCGCTCTAACAAATATTTCTTTTATCATAAAAAAAGAAGCCTTAATGTGAAGTACTTCTCAGCAACTTTTAAAAATACAATAATTTCGTCAAGATAAAGAAATCTTTTTGAAAGCGTGTCGCGTTGAATGGCAAATAAAAGAGATCATTGTTCTACAAACCTGTGTGAATCACTTGACAGGGTAGTATAACGGTACTTCCAGCTTTTACGCGAACACTCATCCTCTGCGATAAGATTTGCGGTTGTACTTCGGCAGTGCCGAGATTGTCATCTTCCTCTTCGTCCTCCTCATCGTTCTCATCGAAAGGTGTATCGTCCTCATAATCCAAGTCTTCTGTACTCTTAGTCGGTTTGCACAAACCTAAAACAAAAAAAAAAGGACAATTTTAACATGAGAATTATGAATCATGAATTCTTAAACCTATAATTTTTATTAAAAAATTTACTAAGTTATTTAAGTACGGGTTCTTAGTTTTAATACAATAAGTACGAGAAATTAAGCAAAAAATAATAAAATTTAATCTCGGCAAAATTACTATTAATATTTGTTTATGGTAATTTTAGTAAAATCAATGCACAGTGTCTCTATCTTTTATAAAATTACGTTCATAATGACGATAGAAATGATAATTTTGGATTGTTTGGCTACGAGTATCAACTAAATATTGTTATTGATACGCAATCGGTAATATTTTCCTCAAGTGACGGTTTAATCGCAATCAATTAAATCGCCCTGTTAATTTACTGGACCGCGAATGTCAACCGGCTGTAAAGGACAATTTTAACATGAGAATTATGAATCATGAATTCTTAAACCTATAATTTTTATTAAAAAATTTACTAAGTTATTTAAGTACGGGTTCTTAGTTTTAATACAATAAGTACGAGAAATTAAGCAAAAAATAATAAAATTTAATCTCGGCAAAATTACTATTAATATTTGTTTATGGTAATTTTAGTAAAATCAATGCACAGTGTCTCTATCTTTTATAAAATTACGTTCATAATGACGATAGAAATGATAATTTTGGATTGTTTGGCTACGAGTATCAACTAAATATTGTTATTGATACGCAATCGGTAATATTTTCCTCAAGTGACGGTTTAATCGCAATCAATTAAATCGCCCTGTTAATTTACTGGACCGCGAATGTCAACCGGCTGTAACCTGCTTGCCGGCAATTTTATTGGGTTCTCGTCGAAACCGCAAACTGATACCCCTTTCTGTGGAGAGAAGAGGGGAGATGCAGCGGTCGAAATTAGATTTCTAGTGCACGACCGTGCTCGATTTCGGAACAGAGCATAAACGTGCACACCCTGGCTTTCTAATAATACGCGACCCCATACCATCCTTTTCAACAATGAATACAGTTTCTCGCCAGTTTCGCGACGATGAGGTCAGAAGGAGAGCGAAATTGTGCGCAATTAGATCGGCCAAAGAGTTCCCCCTGCGTGTTTGCTATCAGTTTGCCTCGTTTTTTACAGGGCACATCTTCACGCTAACGCGTTATACATGCCGTTCAATTTTAGCCGACTGTAACCACACCCTGCGCTCGGGAAAAAAAATGGGTCGTGTAAGTCAACCGGATTCGGTGCTCTGTTCAATTTCGTCGAATGGACGGCAAAAAGCATCTGCCAATTTCGCGAATTAAGATCGCTAAATCATCGTTTGTCGTGATTGATCTGCGGCGATTTGAGCCTGCCGCGTAATTCTGAAAATTATAATAGATTCTTGAACTTGCTTGAATGGCAATTTTGTAACAATTTTAAATGTTATAAAGTAAAATATACAGCGAACATAAAATAGTAACGAAACCCACTAAAACGTCGTTTTAAAATTTAATTAAATTCTCTATCCCCCCTCCCCCCTCCCACTCTCTCTTACTCTATTGAATTTATTATAATATTAATTCTCTGTTAAACTTATTACATAAATCTTTCGGTTATCATTTAATATAAAGGATATTATAAAAAATTAATAAGAAATATGCTATATTCGAGAGACATTCATTCACATTTATTCAAAGATTATATATTGCAAAGAATCAATGTAAATATATCGAATGTAATTTGGAGTTATAAATAAATCAATTAATGAAACAATAAAACAACGAACAAAGTATTTAATAATAATTCGTGGCAGTATTCGAGTGTCTTTTCGTAGGCGAAGCAAAATGCGATTACGCAGAAGGAACCCCATGCATCTAGATTAATGACCGACTCCTACATGTCGGCACCCCTGTGCTCCAGTTAAAGGCCTGGGGCTACCGTAGCCCCAATTTTTCCATTCTCCCTTAGCAACGATCTGCTCTATACTCGCGAATAGGCGCCACGGTGTCCTACGGTGTCGCCATTGCTCAATCCGTGTGACTCTATAAAGCTACACCCACGCATTCTGTCAGTCGGATTAATGTCATGGAACATTGCGTTCATATCTTATATTCATTTTGCAGTACGTGTCATCAAATACGTACATCAGCTACGAAGCATCTACTTTCATTTTCGAAAAAGATCTCGTGCTTCTCCCGTATCAATACAAATCATTACAAATTTTCTACTTATTTAAATTATTTATTTGCATTTATGTAAATATATTGATTTTTGTATTTAAATATTGAAAAAGATAGTTGCATAACTTATTAAAAAAGGAAAAGAAAAAATGGATGTATGTAATTGTATAATATGCGAAATATCAATCATATACAAAAAAAAAAAACGAATTAGATGTTTTCATTAGCTAAAATTAGCTTTCACAAAAATGGTTAGGTCTCCATTTGCGGAGGTACTTGTGGTTTTAAAATGTTTGCTAAATTTTAAATAAATGTTGGAACATCATGACCTTAACAAGTGACAAGTGAGATTGCTTGAAGGAAAGGGGCAATGAATTGATTAGCTACACGAAATACATTAAGGTGTGGTTTGCCGCTGATGGTCTCGTTAAGGTCTGGCATTTTAAACCTAGCCTTCTAATTTGTCTTCCATATTTCGTTTACTCAGCAAATTTGTTACAGCTATACTTTCGCAGGAAATCGAGAAGAAATTTTAAAATCCGTACTTTTAGGAGAGAAATGATCTTCTTTCCTAATTTTTTTGCTTTATAGACAGCATCATTAGGATTTTATTTTTTTCATCTTTCAGATTTTTTCTTCATTTTTTGACATTTAACATTAAAGATCTTTGCTTGCAAAATTTTACATTAAAATTCTATTAAAGTCAAAATAAGATCATAAAGGATAAGATCTTATAGCATCTATTTTTGTTTCTAAAGACATCTTTTTTATCTGAGATTTTACACGAAAATTAACAATGTTCTATGATATCCATTTATCAAAAACAAGTCTATCCTAAATTTGCAGTTGAATAAAAAATTGAACAAGAAACCGATGATTCTGGAATATTTGTATGTCAGATTCGATATTCAAGATATTTTATTCAACGTGAATTCATCAGCTTGCGAAACAGAAAAGCCCCGATTTTATATTGCGGTCAACCTCATCCTTTTTCCCATTAGCGATTCGAGTACCATACCGATGAGTTTTATAGGGAATAACGGACGTGCGCGTGAAAAACCGCAAATCTGTTTTGTATGACAGGCACGCTTTTCGTCGCGGTGATATCATCGTGACAGCATATAAGCCCAAAAAAAGGACGGTATACCCGATCACATCTGCAGGACACGTCATCTTGCCGCAGTGTCCTCACGTGTATTTTAACAATGAGGACGATAAGGCATACGTTATAGTCAGGTTTCGTTGACACAAATGAAAAAGAACGCTCGTAAATTATTTATATGCAGGAAGTGCAAAGAACATTCCTCACGTCGTGAAAATGTTAGAGTGCACCCGCGATTAGTTATCGCAGTTTCGCGCGAGTGTTAAGTTAGAGCAGAAATAACTTCTCGTTTCGATGAGGAAGAGACCGTGTAGTTCGTGGAATTTTCGTTGGATCGGAGCTCAAAGCCGACTTCCGTTTACGAGGCTCCCACTGCAGCTTAAGTTATTTGGATTCTATGTAAAATAGGCGCAAACAAGAATGCTTAAATTGTAATGTGCAATGACATCTATCATAAGTCTATGATTTGTTATTATATAAATTAATATAACATGTATAATATATTATACTTTTAGATTATTATTACAAATATATACATACATACATACATACACACATACATACATATATAGACCTTGAAATCTCAAAGCACCGAAACATCTACACCCACAGAAAAATTATTACTAGCATATTATTGCCCTCTTCATACTATACAACTTTCGTAATTATAATATTTTCATATCTCTAAAAATATCGGAGATATTCTAGGTGGTCAAAGTTATTGCTCCACCCTGTATATACATATAACATCTTCTCTCTCTTTTGAAAGCTTTTATTTCGATGAGTAAACGGCGGAAAGTATTAAAGAGTGTCTTTTATTCTTTTACGACTAATCGACATCGCTAAACTCTGTCGCTGATATCTTCAAAGACGATCAAATCGCACATTGATATCGCACCGATTATTCGCGAAGGTTTGACAGCGTTCGATGAATTACGAATGTTGAATGAGTGACGTCAGCCTCTACATTCTCTCACGCCTTAATGGTTATTATTGCCAGGAGGCACGCACTCTCTTCTTATTCTCCGAGAAGGGGGACCCTAAGGCGACGTTCACGCACATATGCATACGTTCGTACGACAAAGACGTAGTGCAATAGACGATGATGACGATGGAATGTGCGACGCTATGTTAGAGCGTGTATAACGAAACGAGAAGTGCCATTGGCCGAATTGATTCTCTCGTGGGGAGTCCTTGAATGTTCTTAGCGCTCGTGCAACTCGTTCGAATTTGTACCAATATGTATCAAGATACAATCATAGTATTCTTTTTTCTATTTTTATTATTTTGTATTTTTCGAGGCACTATTTCGCTTTGATATATTCGTATTCATGAAAAATCTCAAGATATTCAATTGTAATAAATACGATGGTATCTCTTGTATTTTTAGAATTATTTCTTTACAATAATATAAAAACGAAAAATCCCGAGAAAATGCGATCTAGAATTAAATTCTAGAACTAAATTGTCACTGTTCGTAAATCGTAAGTTGAGTTTTGTGACAGAAAGAAAATTTAAGTCTTAAAAGAGAAATGTAATTCAAATAATGATTTGATTTATATGTCCTTTTGGTTTAATAACTTATTTCATATGATATATATATATCCCGGAAAGCATAATTTTAATTTGACTAAAATAGATTCGGAATTAGACATTAGAGATAATGTGACATCTGACAATATTATAACGTTTAATATTAAATATTAGTATGGTATATTTAGAAGATTATCATTGATGTTTAATTCGCTG